TCCAGAGTGTACCGAAAGCTTTAAAAGTATTGGCTTGAGGTCTGGGTCTTGGAAGAAGGGATCATAGAAGAGAAAAAAATGAAGAAAAGACCAAAATTTATCTGTCTTCTCATCACAGTTCCCACATAGGTAAAATTATGAAAGAGGAAAATATTTCTGTTCTGAAGTCCTCAGCGCTCTGAAGTTTACTTTTGTCCATTTTTACTACAATAACCTTTTATGTCCTATTCTTCAAGCATAAGTGACACTAAAATCTATTTACCTCCCTCAATAACTTCAATTATGAGCTGTCTCTAGAAGATATTAGGAAAAATGCAATCTGACTGAACCAACTCATACTAATGTGTAAATGACTTACTTGCACATTTATACATACAATTCACATACAGCTACACAATTGTATTACTTCTGTGTTAGCTAGGCACCACTCTAGGAGCTAGGGAAAAAAAGAACAAGGCTTTTCTTCCCATGAAGCTGAAATTTTAGTGGACAGAGTTAGACAACAATAACATTCACAAATAAATAAATACAGAAAATAGAGTGAGATAATACAGAAGACTGGTTGACTACTTCACATTTGGTATTATAAAAGGCCTCTTTAAAGGTATCATTTAAGACAAGATGTAATTGAAGACAAAGAACCAGTCTTGTGTAAATGAAGGGGATATGACACAGCTAGCGCAATTCAAAGAAAGGAATGAGCTTGGTATATGGATAGGAAAAAAGGCCAGTGGGCCCAAAGAACAGCAGGCAAGGAGGAGGACAGGGTGCAAAGATGGGCAGGGGCCAAATCATGTCAGTCTTTGTAAGACAGAGTAATGCTTTTTAGAGTTTACCCTAAGTTAAATAAGCCGCTGGAAGATTGTGAACAGTAGTGTGGCCTGCTTTACTGCTTAAAGTGATCTCTACCAGAAGCAGGGAGACGGATAGAAGGCACTGCAGAGATCTACACAGGACAGCTGTGTAGACCAGGATGGTGGTGGTAGAGAGATAGGTGGGCTCGATCAAGACACACTTTAAAGGAAAGGTCAGCCGGGCGCAGTGGCTCACAACTATAATCCCAGCACTTTAAAAGGCTGAGATGAGTGGATCACCTAAGGTCAGGAGTTTGAGACCAGCCTGACCAGTATGGGAAAGCCCTATATCTACTAAAAAGACAAAAATTAGCCAGGCATGGTGGCATGCGCCTGTAGTCCCAGCTACTCAGGAGGCTGAGATAGGAGAATTGCTTGAACCCGGGAGGCAGAGGTGGCAGTGAGCCGAGATCACACCACTGCACTCCAGACTGGGCGACAGAGCGAGGCTCTGTCTCAAAAAATATATAAATAAAATTAAAAAGTAAAATAAAGGAAAGGTCTGCAGGACCTTTGACCATGGAGAAGAGGAATAAGGAATTAAGGATACTTGGATACATGATGACTTGTTCTCCTAAGAAAGGCAAGATCTGGAAAGAATAGGTTTGGTTAAAGAATAAGGCCATTGGACAGTAGAAACAGTTCTGTTTTAGATATAGTAATTCTGAGCTCCAAATTATACATCTAGCATCAATATAGGGAAGGTAGCTGGTATATGAGTCCAGTCCTTTGGGGGATTCATATACCAGCTGCCTTCCCTATATTGGGGAAAATTGAGGCTGGAGATACACATTTGGCAGTCATTGGCATATAGATGTCATTAACACCACGGAGACTGATATCCAAGAATTGAACATAGACAAAGAAGAGAAGAAGGCTGGAGATCAGTCTTGGGCTTACTCCAACAGTTAAAGGATGGAAGAGGCTGTTTGGGGACCCTCTTCCTCAGATAGCTATGTCTCAAAAATGGTGATTCAGAAGAGGAGGTCCTTTCTTTACTCATAGGCACGGGTCTTCAAGCTCTTGCAGAAATGTCTAACATTGAGGGTGAGTGAAGACCTTTGTGAATCCTTATCTGCCAGGAGATTGAACATTTGCTACCAGCTGGTACAAGGAAGAAGCTTTGTATCCCTTGAAAATTCATAAGATTTTCCCCATACATTTTGAATAGTATGGTTAAAAACACTTTTAATGAGATATGTAGATATTAAACCTGCCTTGAGGCAGGAGGACTAACAGGAAAGTTTTCAATGTCCATCTGGCCATCAGAATCTAAGAATCCAAAAGTCTAACCTAGAAAGAAGCAGCAGAATATCAGACATTAGGAAGGGGTCTTCTGCTTTGGGAAAAGTGCCGAGACATCAGCCTAGAGAAAACGCTGGAACCCAGGACTGCGGCTGACTAAATAGTAGGCTATGAGTGAAAGTAATTAGCTTCTTTTTTCTTCTGCCTATAGCAACTAGGCTTTGTCATCTAGAAACAATAGCATGATTTTTCTTAGGAGTCAGGATATATAATAAAACGTTGCTCCGAATCAGCAGGGTTGAAAGATACAGGCCAAAATATAATGTTCATCCGACAGCCTGTTCAATTTTTACAGTTTTTGGAAAAAATGTCTGTTCATATAGATATGATTATCTGAGATTACCTCTGAATGTATTCTTTGGGGAGTTTGCTGCACAGTTAATATTGCAATATTGCAGCAAATTATGGAATTCTCTCAATAACAGAGCAAAGAAATCTGTGTCCTGATGGAAAGCACTTATGGCAGTTTAGGGAAACTTTCAACAACAAATGATTCCGTTGTATTTTCCCCAAACGGATTTTCTTCCCTCTTGATGTCTCCCCCTAGGCTCTGAGTTGTAAGTGGCAGAACAAGTGACTCCTCTAAACATTAAGGTTTGCTGTAATCCATAATTCATGTTATAGAAAAAATAAATTTTAATCATAAGACTGCCACACTTTTGAAGAGTTTATTAAAATAAGAGATACACAGAGGCCTTTTGGAAAACTGACATCTAGAAAAAGGAGCCAGCCTGAGGGTATTGGATAAGAGGTATTGGGAAATAAAAAAACATTTTCAGGAGCGAGGATTTCAGATAGAAAAAGCATTTTTTTATACTTTCAAAGACAAGACATGCATTTGGTTGGACCAGCTGCTGATTTTGGACAATTGTTATAAGAGACCTAATTTTTGCCTTTATGATCATAACGTGCACATATTCTCCTCAGGGACTAAACCCATGGCCAACAGTATGTGCTAACTTGGACACCATGTACGCAGTGACTTAAACCATAGGAAAAGTGGACTCCAACATCTTTCCCTATAATTAGCTCAGATAAAAGCAGTGGAAAACCACAATGTTTATTCCTTTGGTTTTATATATAGTCTTTAATCAAAACACCTTAAGAATATTTTAAGTTTTTCCTTCTGCTTGGTAAATTTCTGGTAATTCTGGGAAACAATGCAAAGTAAAGAATGAATATGGAACTGCTGGATCATAGTTGGGATTGAGAGGGAGTCTGCTCTCCTCTAAGGATCAATAGTTAACTGAATGACTTCAAACAGCCCTCCGTGCTAAGGTGAAAGTAAGAGAATCCTCTGGGTCTCCGAGATCCTCCGTTCCCTCGGTTGGATGCCAGAAGCACCTGGAGGCTTTAATCAGAACCTTCAGTCATTCAATCAGTTGTACAACACCATGCCTTATGGCTGACCAGTATCAACCTGAACACTTCATCCATGGTTATCAGGGTAGTGAGTGAAGCATCCAGATTTATACTGTTCAGATCATCCTGAATTATTCAATATAAACAATAATCACCAGAAATACATTAAAATTTTTCTATGTCCCAGGTGCATTACTGGATGCATAATTTGTAGATATCTTCTCTAATCTTGACCATAATTTGCAAGTTAAGTATGATTATCCCTATTTTGCAAATGAGGAAACTGAGGCTCAGAGAGGTTAACTAACTTGGCCACAGTCACTGAGATAATAAATGGAAGAATCTATTTATCTAAGTATAGATAGATAGACCTATTAATCTATTTATAAAGAAAAAGAATAACTGATGAATTCAAGTAGAAAGAAATACATGATTTAAACTGTAGTTGTTTTCAGACTCAACCCAAAAGTCAGGCTTGCAAACTATGGCAAATTTTAGTAGAAATCATAGTGCCTGTATCAGGACTGTGGGAAATACAGAAAGTGGACAGTGAATAGCATCATTAGCACAGTTGTATTTGCTTCTAGTCCTGACTTTTTTCAAGCCTACTTTAATGCTTGTCCTTGGCCTTGTATTTGGTTAAGAATGTGAGTACTGTTGCTGAAAGTAAAGTCTATTTATCTGTCAAGCTGCTAATTAGTGCTGGAGAGTAGCTCCCGAGTTTGTTACAATATGCTTTGGTGTGTACCAGAGTCACTTGTGAGCTTTACAACCCGCATTCCTGGGTCCTATCACTCGTAGATCTTCCATAGGTTGGTGATGGTTCTCAGGCATTTATATTTTTTAACAAGCTCTCAGGTAATTCTGATGCCCACCAAAGTTTGAGAATTATTGCTATCAATGTTGTTTGAGGGGATGATGCCTTACTCAGAAATCTGAATAAACATAATAAACTATCGTTGTAGGTTGGAAGAAAAAAAGTCAGCTTGTAAGGAATGCATGGAGGGATGTTCATTTGGCCTGTACACTTTTGTCACCTGTCTTGATCAATGTCTACTTTCCCTTTCCTCTCATTAATATTTGGGTCAAGAGAATATTTTATCAGGTCTCCAGTAAGTATGTTTTCCCCGTTACCTAAATGAACACAGTCTCATAGAGACCATTCAAATGTTCTCATTGCAATGGGAAGCTGATCTGAAAATCTATCGATCAAACTAATCTGCTTTCTTGGAGGAGCCATGGAGACCCTCTGGGGACCTGAGAATGCTTTCCTGTCATTGCAGTGACACTGACTGGCTTTTTAACTTTGAGAAGGGCCATGACAATCTTCCGATAGTGACATTATTTATACCTCTGGACTCTCACCCTTCATAGGTCTTGCTTTGTTATCACGGTCCTTGTCACTGTACGAAAGAAAGCATCAAAGAAGGCAAATGAACTTCTGCTATTGGGGAAATTATACATGACTGTAATTTCTACCTGGCACTGATGTCCCAAGTGCGACGAACACAACTGCAGTCACAGAATCTTTCAGGCCAATGGTGCAGCCGAAATGGGAAGCCAGGTCTCCGATGAAAGCTGTCAGTAGGCCAATCATGAGGATGGAGACAATGAAACACGCCCAGCCATTCCAGTATTCAGTAGGAGGAACGAAGGCAAAGAGGACCTTCCAGAACACAGTCAGAAAGTGCATCACATAATCAAAACAGGAGGGCAGCTTTTCTTCCCCACATTCATCATCATCATCATCTTCCCCTAGAGAGGAGAAAAAAGCACATTCCATCACAACCTAGGCTACCAGGTCTTCCTCTCTCAATCTTTCCTGTCTAGGCTGTTAGTCCTCCACTCTATGTGACAGGAGGCCATGAGAGGCGGGTGAAGTTTAGTGTTTTCCAAGAGTTAATCATAATTAACTAATTAATTATTAAGACACTGAAATGCCTCTTACCTGTGGCTCACTGGTCAATGGCAATAACTTAACACCTACCCAGTTCTGCTTCCATGCAATCAACACATTCTTTCTACTTTCACATCCAGTGAGACTTGCCACTTCAGAGAAATGAAAATGATTTCCTCTAAAAGGCTGGAAAGCCCAGTGTTGGGCTGAGAAAGAACCCTCTTTAGAAGAAAGATAAGCGTAGATGGAGTTCTACTAGGGTTCTTTTCTTCCAACTTGAAGTCCAACTCTGGGTTATATAATCACCTACAGGATAATGTTCAAACAGGGCCGTTAATCATGGCTCTGAGCCTTGCCTATTTCTCCAGCATCATCTCCTGCAACTATTTCAAACTAAAGCCTTGAAATTACTTGCCAAATAATTATATGCCGGGAAATTTAATTATTTGCATTTTTCCAAACCAGATACACTTTCTCCTACTTTCGTCCTTTAGAACTAAATGTGCTTGGCATATCTTAATTGCTCCATCCTAATCCTTCCTCACCCGTCCTTCAAGACTCACTTCCTCTGTGATGCGCTCTCCAACTGCCCCCCAAACCCATGCTGGGAACTCCTGCTCAGAGGAGCCTCCCAGCACTTGTAACTCTGGATCAGTTGTTCTCAGAGTGTGCTTCCTGAGCAGGTGGCACAGAGAATGTGTTATATAACAATTCAAAATTCTTAGCCCCTCTGAGTTAGAAACTGGGGAGAGGGTGGACAGCAAGCTGGGCTTGAACAAGCCCTCCATGTGACATTGATGCATGTTCAAGTGTGAGAACTGCTTTTCTGAATTGTACATGTTCATGTTCCTCTCTTTTCCAGTTGACTGAAGAGCCCTTCAAGGGCAGGAATTCATGCATCTTTGTGTCCCTGCTATTTGGTACCATCTCTAGCACCTGAACTAAGGTGGTTAATTTCATGTTAAAGGAAGGAATGCAAGCAGAAATTTCTATTGACTTTTTATTACTATGCAATTACATTATATGTACAGTATATATAGTAGATCTATACTATATATGGTACATTGTGTGTATATATATATAGTGTGTGTGGGTGTATATATACATGTATACACACATACTATGTACCATGGTATATATATACTCACTGCAACCTATGTGTGCATATATATATATATATATATATACATACACACACATACATATATATATATACATACATACACAATTTTGCCAATTAAGTCATACCATCAGTGTACAAAGAAATGTGGCTGGGTGCAGTGGCCCATATACTGTGTACCATTGTGTGTGTGTGTGTGTGTGTGTGTGTGTGTGTATACACACACTCCAACCTATGTGTGCATATATATATATATACACACACACACACACACACTATGTACCATAGTTTGTGTGTGTGTATACATACATACATACACAATTTTGCCAATTAAGTCATACTATCAGTATACAAAGAAATGCAGTCGGGTGCGGTGGCCCACACCTGTAATCCCAGCACTTTGGGAGGCTGAGGTCAGTAGATCACAAGGTCAGGAGATCGAGACCACCGTGGCCAACATGGTGAAATCCTGTCTCTACTAAAAATACAACAATTAGCTGGGCATGGTGGCACTTGCCTGTAATCCCAGTTACTAGGGAGGTTGAGGCAGGAGACTCATTTGAAGCAGGGAGTCGGAGGCTGCAGTGAGCCAAGATCACACCACTGCACTCTAGCCTGGCAACAGAGCAAGATTCAGTCTCAAAAAAAAAAAAAAAAAAAAAAAAAAAAAAAAAAA